ACAAAATATAAACCCGAAAAGCATGCCCCCATTGACCCATCTCCAGCTACACCATGCTTGCCTACAGTTACCACCCAGTTAATCCCCATTAGTGGGTTAGATTAAGTCTGTGGGCTTGTATCTGGGCACACTAGTTGGTGACTGGTGTCTGTGAGGTACTCTCTCTAAGCCCTTTTGTGGGGTTTACTGCCATTGTGTATGTGCAAAGTTCTCTGCTGGAAGCTTGAGGTTATCCTCAGGAATTGCCTTATGTGGTTCCATGCATCTGAATGAGGATTGAGTAACTGGAAACTCTGGGAATCCCAGCTGTGGATCCTCCTAGGGGTGCTGGGGCACAGGAACTACCTCCCTGGTTGCTATGAATTTCTCACCAGCCAGTTCTTGTTCATCAGCCCAACTGTCCAAATCTGCATGCTTTGAGGGGTCTGTGCTGCATCTGCTGGCTGCTTCTGCTGGGTATGGAGGCACAGGATGCAGGGTTCAGGGTTTTTACAAGTGCTGTGGAAGGCTATGTGCCCATTCCCCTCCACAAACCTTTTTTTAAAAGTGGCACAGAACTTGGTGGTTGTCTGCAAGTGTGGGACCTGTGTTTGTGGCCTCCCTGTGGGTGGTTTGTGGGGCAGAAACCTCCACCCTGGCTGCTCTACAGCAGCCAGGTACTAGGGTACCATCCTTGTGACTGGGGTAGAGCATTAGTTAGCCTGTCTACACCTGAGCTCCTACTGTCTATGGTGATTGTGAATCTTGGGTACCCACTCCACCCTGCTGTGACTTCTACAGAGTAGCGCAATATAAGCACTTGGTGGCTATCTGAAACTGTGGGGCCTGTGGGTGCAGGCTCTCTGTGGGTCATCTGTGGCACAGAAACTTCTGCTCTGGCTTGTGAAGCTCACTGTGAAGGAGGTGGTATTGTGGTGTGAACTGATAAATACAATCAATAAGAGTGTAAGTTATAGGTTACACATTAGTAAAAAAAAAAAAAAAATATATATATATATATATATATATATATATATATTATAGATATAAGATTTTGGGACTGCAAATTGGTGCAACTACTCTAGAAAGCAGTATGTATATTTCTCAAAAAATTAGAAATGGAACCACAATTTGACCCAGTTATCCCACTATTTGATACATCCAAAGGATTTAAAATTAGCATACCACAGTGACATAGTCACAATATTTATATTTACACAATATTTACATCAATATTTATAGCAGCTCAACTCATAACAGCTAAGCTATGGAGCCAACCTAGGTGCCCTTCAACAGATGAATGGATAAAGAGAGTGTGGGTATTTATACACAGTGGAATATCACTCAGCCATAAAGAAGAATGACTTTATGACATTTGCTGGTAAATGAATGGGTCTGAAGACTATCATGCTAAGTGAAATAAGCCAATCCCCCCAAACCAAAGGTCGAATGTTTTCTCTGATATGTGGAAGCTAACCTACAATAAGGTGGGGAGTGGGGTAGAAGTTCAATGGATTAGACAAAGGAGAATGAACAGAAGGAAGGGGGACAGGGAAAGAAAAAACAGTGGAATGAATCTGACATAAATTTTCTGTGTATATGTACACCACAGTGAATCTCAACATTATGTACACGAACAAGAAATTAATTTAAAAAATAATAACTATGGGTAAATGGCAGAAAGGTTAATAGAGAGAAGGGAGCAGGGGAAGGGGAAAGGAAAAGGAAAGGAGAGGTACTATGATCTGAATTAGAATAAGATATAGTCCATGCTTGTATAATTATGTCAAAGTGGATTCTACTAGTTATGTATAACTAAAAAGAAGCAATTAAAAAATAAAAGATAGAGTCACTCATGTCAGCCCTATCCTAAACTAAATAAAGCCAGGAGGTTATAAAGGAAAGGATTCTTAGGCTTACATGCCTGATAATAACTATCACAAAAGACTCTGCCAAAATCAAAAGTTTGTACTGAGTCAATTTAGCCAGATCTAACAGATCTGCTAACCTCTTGGATCTTGGTTAAAAAAAGTTGTTAGTATTTCTGGAAATAATTATTTGGAAAAAATCATACTCTGCTCTCATATATTACTGTGAAGTTATGAACTTAACTCTTTGTTCACTGTTTCTCTCAATCAGTCCAGGCTGTCAGGATTCAATTGCCACTTTAAATCCATTCATTTTCAAACACTCCTGAGTTTTACCATCAATCTCTTAGCCCTGATGCAACTTACCTTGATTGTTCATGTCCCTCTGACAGATAACAAGGATGGGAGACTCCTGTTCCAAGGCCTATGGTCCTCACCAGTAGGAAGCAGCTGAAGAAAGGCCTCAATGGTGTCCACTTCTCTAAGATGCTTCAGGTTCTCTAGTTCTTTGTGGGAAGGGGAATGTTAGACAGCAGACAGATATGAATGGTGGAAACATGGAGTTTAAAGGATTAATTCTATAGACTGAGACTACATGCTTTCAGCATGTCTCTCTTTAAAGCAGTCCACACAAAGACATTCTGATCTAACTGTAGTTAAAAGGATAACAATATATTGTAACACTGACTAATAAATTTCTTATTTCCAGAGTTGTTCTCTTGCCTCTCAAGGTTAAAGGATTGTGTCCAAAAACTCCTCTACTGATAAAACAAAAACAGACAAAGAAACCCCCCAAACCACAAGTTACCCTGATCTAGGTTGGGCCTGGATGAAAGAGGGCCTTTGTGACCTTTATACAAATCAAAATGACCAAAAGTTGCCCTTAGATGGAAATATGTGCAGCAGAGACTTAAAAATCGGATACAATTTTACCGTTTATCAAATGTTAAGAGCTAGTGCTTGGATGAGATTCAATAGAAATTCTCTAGGTGACCTAGCTGAATTTCTACCCTGCCTTGATCTTGTTCATCTTTGATGACTGGATGCCTATAACCCAGAAGTTCTTCTACAGGTGGTCTAGCTGAAACTGGTTGGATCTAAAATGGCTGCCAGACAACCTCTAACTTCAGCATAACTCCATCTGCATGCTAAATGCCACCCGTAGTGCCATGACCATTTACAATTGCCCTATATTATGATTTGGATAGGAGATGTCCTCAAAAGCTCATGTGTGTGGGCTGGGGATGTGGCTCAAGCAGTAGCACGCTCGCCTGGCATGCGTGTGGCCCGGGTTCCATCCTCAGCACCACGTACAAACAAAGATGTTGTATCCGCCGATAACTAAAAAATAAATATTAAAAAGTTCTCTCTCTCTCTCTCTCAAAAAAAAAAAAAAGCTCATGTGTGAGACACATGTCTCATTGTGAGACAATGCAAGAAGATTTTGAAGAGAAATTATTGGATTATGAGAGCCCTAACTCAATCATGAATGAATCCCCTGATGGGATTAACTGAGTGGTAACTGTAGGCAGGTGCGGTGTGGCTGGAGGAAGCATGCCTTTGGGGTATATATTTCGTATCTGGTGACTGGTTCTCTCTCTCTGCTTCATGATTATCATGTGGACTGCTTTCCTCCACCCCACTCTTCCACCATGATGTTCAGCCTTACCTGGAGCCCTGAAAGGAGCCTGCTGTCTATTAGACTGAGACCTCTGAAACTGTGAGTCCTCCAGTAACCTTTTCCTCCTCTAAAATTGTTCTCGTCAAGTCTTTTAGTCACAGCAACAAAAAAGCTGACTAAAACTCCAAGACAATGACTTGAGAGTACTATTAAAAGGAGCAAAAATGGTGGTGCCCAAATTCCTGGAAAATCTCAGCACATACCCAGAAAAGATATAAATATTCTCCCCCTTACTAGTCTATTCTTTCCCCTCTTTTCTTTTACCCTACTGATGCCCAAGGGGCAGGAAGTTGATTTACAAGTTTATTTCCCACTTTTCTAGTTCTTGGCCAAGAATAAAAATTTTTACTGCTCAACCAGTGCTCCATCTTATTATTGTTTCCACAATTCTGAGAAGAAGAAAAAAAGAGACTCAGCCTTTGGAGACAAATCTGGTAATACCTTGTGGTCTTGCTGTCCTTTATCCTTGTAACTCTGTCTCTCCTGTCACCTCTGTGTCTCTATTTTTTCCAGGCTTATGCCTTTGTTTTATTTCTTTATCTCCTGCCCTTCTGATGTTGAGAGCTCCCTCAAACCTTCCCTACCCTCTTCCCAGCCACCCTAGAAGGTGTTCTCTTTCCAATGGGAAAAGGGACCAGTAGGGGCTGTCTCCCCGCAAGGTGTCTCCAAATCCACTGTGGTGTTTTATCTCATTGTATTGATGGCTTTTTCTCACTTCCTATTTTCTCTAGTAGGTGAATTTTGCAAAACTTTTGATAGAGCAGTTGTCTGTAGTATCATTATATTGATTAATTTACTCAAGTGACAACATAAGGAAACCAGCAGAGAGTAAATGGAAACACGAGGAAAGGGAAAACAGACAAACATTTGGATTCACATGTCCCCAATCCCATGAAAATGTGGTATAGGGGATAACCAGGCTGCAGTGGGTGAGGCCTGTCTCAGCAGGACAGTATTCCTGCCCTTAGAAGTCCCTGTCCTTGGGCACAGTGACTAAGCTTATCTGTCCCCTGTGTGCGCCAGGCTCTCTTATCTAATAAAGAGGGTTCCACCAGTTTGTTTGCTAAAAACATAAAAAATAAAAAGAAATCATCAGCTAATGTTCTTCATAGCTGAAGATGAACAACAACTTTAGACAGTGATCTCATAGGTCAGTAATTCTGTCTTTATCATCCACACTGCCCTGGTGCATGATGGCAGGTTGGGTTTCATACAGGGCAAACAGTGAATACCTATTTCCACCATGAAATACAGTTGACATATTAGCTACTTGCAAACTTACATTTTTGTCAGATGTAGATAGATTCTTCTAAAATTGACTTGTTTCTTTCTGCAATATATTTACTCTTAAATAAAATAATAGCAGAGCTTAAATACCTCTTTAACACTTTTTTTTTGGGGGGGGGTTAAACTGAGTCACCAGCACAGGTGTTTATTGAAAGCTAAGGTGACACAGAGGAAGCTGGGGGAAGATGCTCAAGGCTGGGTGAGCTCTGACATCTGCCCAGGTCCGTTTTGACCAGCTCCTGGTCAACCCTTAGGGAGCTGGAGGAGTGTCATCGGAACCATGAAGGTGATGAGGATGATGGCCACGTCCGTGCCCAGCAAGCCTGCATCGAGGCCAAGCACGTGAGGGTGCCCCTGGCCCATGTGTGTGTGTTGGGGTGTGTGTGTGAGACAGAGGGTACCCTCGACTGATGTTGGGTTGTGTGCCTGCGCATGGCCCACACATGCTCCACTCTTCACAGGACAAAAACATGGCGGACATGGATGAGCTCTTCTCTCAGGTAGACGAGAAGAGAAAGGTGAGCATCTATTCCCTGAAGCCTGAGAATCGAAGGTACTAGAACAGTGTCTCTTCCTATCTCTGATACTGCTCTTTTGTTACAGAAAGGAGACATCCCTGACTACCTGTGTGGAAAGATCAGCTTTGAGCTGATGCGGGAACCCTGCATCACGCCAAGTGGCATCACTTATGACCGCAAAGACATTGAGGAGCATCTGCAGGTAAGGACATGGGCCTGGGGACAAGGGCTAGAGGCGCAGCTCCAGCACACTGAGCACCCTGACCCTGTTGTAACTGCAGAGTGTGAGCCATTTTGACCCTGTGACTCGGAGCCCCCTGACCCAGGAACAGCTCATCCCCAACCTGGCCATGAAGGAAGTCATCGATGCATTCATCTCTGAGAACGGCTGGGTGGAGGACTACTGAGGACCTCGCCCCAGAGGGTCCTGAGGCAGAAGCCCCAGAACCTGTACATAGTTTGTGTCTCTGGGCCCATCCCCATCAGTTCTGCTGGTGGGCTCTGGACTGCTTCGTCTTTCAGCATAGCCCTTGCTGGGCCATGAGCCTCCCCTGTCCCTTTCTGGGCAGGAAAAGCAGGTGAGGGTGGGCTGGGCTGAGGCCCCTGATGCTGCCACTGGCTCTGTAATAAAATCTGTGAGCACTACAGGGGCACGTGCTGGTGTATGACAAGCTCACCAGCTGCCTGCTCTGGTTAACCAAGGAAGGTTGAGATGAAGACACTGGTGTCCAGGTTGAGAGTGGCATGCCACCAGCGGTCAGGGAAGTACAGCACCTCACCAGCTCGGATGGTACACTCCAGGGGCCGCTCTGATGATGTCAGGGCTGGGTATGTGTCCTGCAGCCAGGCCAGTGTAGTTTTATTGGGATGGAACTCTGGTGCCTTCTCAGGTGGGTAGAGGACCCCGGCCCATGCCAGTGGAAGGGCACCCCAGAGCCAGCTCCCGCGATTCCAAAGCTATATATAGGCAGGGGTGGTTTCCAGCAGACGAAACGGGGGTGGTGAATTGTGCCGAAAGAGCGATGCCCACTCAGTGAAGTTGTTGTCCCCAAAGAAGTACAAGGTGTCATTCCCCAGGGAGGCAGGATCCTGAGGGTGTAGCAGCTGCTCAACGTATTCCTGGAAGGGCAGATCCACTTTCCTGTAGGAGTAGGTGTTGCCAGTGCTCAGCCTCACTACATTGTCCCCAAAAGAAGCCAGCAGCCTTTCTCGGGAACACAGGGCCCGGAACCTCTGCGGGGACCAGCAGAAGGCTTAGCGGCAGGGCGGGCAGAGCCGGCGGCCCGCGGCGGGCGCCAGCACTCACCGAGTTGTCTGTGAGCCCCTGCAGGAGGACCGGCCTGAGGAAGGCGTACTGCTGCATGAACTCGGCGTAGATGAGGTCCGCCCTACGCTCCACGGTGCAGCCCTCCTCTTCCGCCACGGCCGCCGCCGCCGGCCCGCCCAGCCGCCTGCGGGCACAGCCCGGTCAGCGCCGCCCTTGCCCCGACGCCCAGGGCGCCCTCCCGCCCGCGCCGCTCACCATCCCCCGCCGCCCGCCTCCCAGGAGCCGGAGCCAGGTCGAGGCAGCGCCGCCAGCGCAGCCAGCGCGAGCAGGAGCGCCCGCGGTCCCCGCGCCATGAGCCTCGCGAAGCCCTCTTTAACACTTTAATAGCAGACAGTAGGTGATCCCTTTCTTTTTTCACTCAATAGAAATCTGCAAGGCATGAGACTGTCCACTGAACCTCGGCAGAGATACACCACATGACTGAGAAGGTCCACTTGCTGAGTCTTGGGGCTTGTCTCTCTGTGACTCATTTTGATGCAGTGACAAGCGGTATAAACTATCAATTTGCATTGCTTCTCATCCTTCCATTCACTCTCACTGCCTTGGGATTAAACCTTAAAAATAAAGCATTGTCGTGAATTCTTTTAATGATTTTGGGTTAGGGAACATGTCTAGGAACTTAGGTATGCACACACAACATATACTTATATGCATACAAAGCAAAGTTTTCTAAAACTGTATTTGTCATCAATATATTTGACATAATCTCTATTCCAGTTCATTTTCTTATTTAAAAGGTTAGTTTGAGCCACTCAGTTGCTTTTACATCCTGGAAACAGTCATGTTCAATTTATATAAATAATCATTTACATACTGAATGTGTCAACAGGGTTGTATATCTTTCATGCCACTCACATTTCTGACCCCAACTGATTAGGAAAAGGGGCCTATCCCCATCTCCTAAAATGGGTAAAAGAAGACACTTCTGGACCAAAAGCATAGTCCTAACTATTTAGGAGTGTGAATTCTAGTCACAATGCCATAACCTCTGTTGGGAAGCGTATCAAAACCTGTGATCACCTCCTCATCAACAAACTTTGCAAGATCCAAGTTGGAATGCCTTCCTATCCTGGGCTTACTTTACGTTGTTTACTTCTGCATCCAAGAGGTCGAAATTTTATATGAACCAAGGACTCTGATTTTCTTCATTTCATAAAAAGAATTATCAAAGGTCTGGGGATATAGCTCAGTTTGTAGAGTGTTTGCCTCGCACGCAAAGGCCCTGGGTTCAATCCCCAGCATCACCAAGAAAACAAAAAAAGAATTATCAAATAATGCCTCTATTTTTCTTATAGTGTTCCTTTCTCCTTCTCTTCTAAGAGGTTCTAAACTAGAGCCAAAATGATGCAGAGCTCATTTAACATGTTTTACAAATCTGAGAGTGGTCACTTCTTGCTGCTTGGACTTTGTCAAAAAGATCCCACACAATCAGGAAAGAAGTGTAATCAGAAAGCTTCTTAACTTTTGTTTTCTTTTTTCTTTCGGTACTGGGGATTGAACTCAAGGGCACTCAACCACTGAGCCACATCCCCAGTGCCTTCTTGTATTTTCTTTAGAGACAGAGTCTCACTCAGTTCCTTAGTGCCTCCAGGTTGCTGAAGCTAGCTTTGAACTCTGTGAGCCTCTTGCCTCAGAGACCTGAGCCACTGGGATTATAGGCATGCACCACTGTCCTCAGCTAGCTTCTTAACATTTTTTTCCCTTTCTTTTAGCTGTTACCAAGTCAGGAATAGTGAACTAATCATGACTACTAAACACAATTTTCTTTCATCATTAAAATCTTAATGACCTTATTTTTTCTATTACAAAAACATTAAAAAAATTAGCAGTTTATTGAAATGATAGCCTCAATGTTCTACAAAGTAGGAGGAAATATAAAGCAATTAATTTAAATTTTTATTTAATTTAAATAAAAAACAATTAATTTAATTTTCTTTTAATATGTCCTTCTAGGTCTCTATTCTCTATCCCTGATGTTGTCTTTAGCCTATCTCATAACTTTTACGATTACATTTGTGTAGTTCAACAATCTCATTTTAAAGCCTACACAGTGCTGTTTGGTTCATATCAACAAATATATCATCCAAGTTTTGGCTTTTGTTTTTTAACCATTCCAAAGTATAGTTCTGACCCAGACTGAAACACTCACACAGAGAAGGGAACTGTGTTCTGATATCTTGGGATTCCTTCACAGTTTTTGCTCTTTCTCCTAGAATTCTGCTTTTTTTTTTTTTCATTCAGAGATGGGTTATTTCCTGATTATGATGTTGGAACTCTCTCAGCAAGTGGTATATTTCCAAATTCTAGCCCTTTGCTTGCTTTTCAGGGTTTCTGATAACAACACTCAAGATTCCTCACAATAACCAGTTCTCAAATACTGGTCATGCTCTCTCCTGCCAACTTCACTGGTTTAGTGGTACCTCCCTTAATACCAGTCCTTTTGGGGTAGAGTGTTCTGAAAATGAAAATATATAAATTCATACATAGACTATACATACAATTGCATACTATTTATGATTTACTATGTATATTATGTTTTACTTATTCTTATTATATGTGATTTAATCCCTTATATGTCAGTATTCAAAATTAAGCGTTGGTTTCTTAGGATACTTCAAAGTTGACCAAAGTTTAACTATGGCCTTGCTAATGAAAACAGATTGGACATATTTCAATTTCCTACAGTTCTTATACATGTAGATTCTCAAATTGTCCCATTTTAGTCTAGTGGTACCATCTCAAGTTGTTTTCTGAGTTGTTCGGTCATATCTGTAACATTCTTCAACAATTTCCTTATTTTCTAATCTTACATTGCAGATTTTATATTTATTGCATCAGACTAAGAAGTTCAATTTACTGCCCCAGAGTCATATATGCAGTGGTATTCTAAGATCACAGATTGGGTGGTGACAGGAGTGTTCATTGTTCCTGGATTAGTCATTAACCTGCTGTTAGGTTTTTTCACTATACACAGAAAGATAAAATCTCATGTATTCATACTTCCTATTTTTACTTTAATTTTTTTTTGTTTTACATTTAAATCTTTTTTTTTTTTTTTTTGGTACTGGTAATTAAACCCAGGGACACTTAATCACTGAGCCACATCCCCAGATCTTTTAATTTTTTTTCTTTAAAATTTTGAGACAGGGTCTTGCTAAGTTGCTTGGGGCCTCAGTAAGGTGCTGAGGTTGAGGTTGGTCTTGAACTTGTAATTCTCTTTTCTTAGCCTCTGGAGTCTGCGATTACAGATGTGCACCAGCATTTAAACTTACATTTGGATCTCTTGTCTGTTGTTCTGAATGTCTTGTTACTTAATGACATTAAACTAATTGCTTTTTTTTTTGCTTTATCCTAATGTGTATAATACATTCACAGTAAAGCAATATCATTGTTATTATTATAAATATTGCTACTGATAAAAGTGTAAGTTTTATTTTATCATTGTCTCTCTTCTTGGAATATATTCTACTAGAAATTTACTCTCATATTAATATGTATAATTTTTGGTGCTGGGGATTGAACCCAGGCCCTTGTATGTGCAAGGGAAGCACTCTACCAACTGAGCAATATCCCCAGGCCTCATATGAAAATATTTTATAATCTTAAAATAACTTATATTTGGTTATGCCAACCACCTTAATTTGTTTCATATTATTTTCTATTTCATAAATATTGTTTTTAAAGGTTAATTATTCAGCTGTTTAGGTATATAAAACTTTAGCATGGTTCCAAGATACAGTAAGCTAAAGTGAAATGTAGCTTTTACTACTGTCCCTCTACCCAGTATGATCCTTTCCCTTAAAGGTTATTAAATTTGATTTCTGAGGATTTGTTATTCTTTAAGGTATGTTGAAGGCATATTCATATTTTGAACTTTCTTGGATTGGCAGTGATATTCCATATACATATTTCTATATCTTGATTTTTGTACTTAACAGTCTGTCCTGAAGATGACATCTTAGCAATATAGAAGATATTCCTCACTCCCTGGTATGGTTGTCAAGGCTTCTATTTTATGGATGTACAATTCCCTACTAGAATATTTGAATAATTTACGGTATTTCTTATTTCAAATAGTGCCATATTTAATAACTTCAAGCAAATACCCTTTTCTACTTTATCTAACTTTTATGACAGATTGTTCAAAGTAGGACCACTGAGTCAATGTGTAAATATATATGTTAAATATATATAAACATATGTAATATATGTGTAATTCCCCAGCCTAATTATAGACCATGTGATTTTTTGTATCTTTTTTTATTGATACCAGAAGAGTAAAACGAAATTAAATTTTCACTCAAAATTAAACTTTGTAAGTTTTCCAAATCTAATATGTGAGAAATTATATCTAGGTATAGATTCTGTTTCTAATTTACATTTCTCTTATCAGATGAGAGATGGAACATCTTTTCATATGTTTAGGGAATTTAAAGAAAACATTTATTTTTTAGTTGTAGTTGGACATAATGTCATTATTTTATTTATTTATTTTTATGTGTTGCTGAGGATCAAACCCAGGACCTTGCCGTGCTAGGCAAGTGCTCTACTGCTGAGCCACAAACCCAGCCCTGTTTAAGGAGTTTTGTATTTCTTTTTATTTCTACTTATTTTTTATTACTATCCTCTTTTCTCTTATTCCATTTCAACTTCAGGCACACAATGATCTTTGTTAACAACCAAGGAGTAGTTAGGCCTCCAGCATGCACACCCTTGGACCAAGTTCCTATCTTGTGCACTTACCCCTGTAATAAAGTACTTTAGATGAAAGTTTTGTATAGCTAATGTTTCTAGGTCATTCCCATTACACAATATCCAACTCACTCTTTTTAAAAAAATTTTTTTTTAAATTGTGGATGGACATAATGCCTTTATTTATTTATTTTTATGTGGTGCTGAGGATTGAACCTGGTGCCTCACATGTGCCAGGCAAGGGCTCTGACACTGAGCCACAACCCTAGCCCCCAATTTTCTCTTTTTATGTATTCACCAAATAAAATGATAACCCTAAAAGAAACAAGAAAGATATGAGTCAACATTAATTGGCTGATAAATGATCAGAATGATACCTTTTTAGCAAAGTATTGGGAACTCTAAAAAAACATGCTATGTAAAAAATTTATTCAAAAATTTTTTTTGAAGATATGCTATGTGTCCAGAAACTTCACTGTGCCCAATATCTTCAATGAGCCTTTCCTGGGTACAAATAACCAGCAAACAGAGATATTCTCTTTTCTTAGCATACAATTCCAGATTCCTGTACTTTATTTTGCCAAGAAGGATCATATCCAAGAATATTGCAGCCTGGCCATGATGCTTCAAGAGATCCTTAAGCCGATCTCTTCAGTCTGCAGTGCCATGAAAACACTGAGGTAAAGTCAGGGGCTCTCTGCTTCACTTACCCCATTTTTAAAGCTCTGCTCAGAGATCTCTGAGTCTGTGAAAAGAGCTTCCCTTTTAAGGAGAACTTTAGCATCACTGACCACAGTGTCAAGGAAATAAGTTTGTAAATAGAAGACCTTTCTAAAGTAAAGACCAGTGGCAAGGAATCCTCCAGTGACTGAGCAAACTTTCTCAATATATGTCAGTATTTTTTCCCCTAAGGATTCATCCCTGTCAACTGAGAGCAAATGGGGAGATTTAATGTTTGCCTTGAGTTCCTGCATGGATACTTGGAAATCCTTAGCCATATTTTCCAGTGATGCATCATCCAGCCCAAAGTAAGATCTGTAAAAGGTTAAGGTCTCCTTTAACTTCTCTATATCATTATCATTGATTAATCCCATCATAGGAATGGTAGCTGATGCTCCAGCCTTTAGGGCCTCCAGCCAGACCATCTGCTTCAGGGAATCTCTCTTCCGATCAATGGCAGCCTCAGTAACACTTGGCAGGCATTGCATGAAGATGTAGCGCTTGTGAGCGGGCAGCTCCTTCAGAAGAGTGGTCTCCAGGTTAGGGAAGTCATAGTCAGACACGTGAATGCTAGAGACTAAGAAGACTTGAGCACCATTTATATTGTTATCTTTCAGGTGTTTGAGACAGTCATCTCGAATCTTTTGCAGGAGCTCGTCCCTATTGAAGGATTTAGGTGTGCATGTTTTCTGATTGTATACATCACTATCGATTTTTGTTCGAACGAAGTAAAACTGCTTGTTCATTTTTGCAATGGCTTTGGCCAGGTGTGCATCATTTTCTTTGAAGCGTGTAGAAGAGATGATAATGAAAAAATCATACTCACCAAACATCATTTTCTTCAGGTACTTTCGGGGTTGGAAGTTAGTGGTCCCAATCCCAGGAAGGTCCCATATTATCACGTTAGGAAGCTTTGGGTGTTGATATCGAGTTCTCTCCATGGTTGTCTCCACCACCCCAGTGGCAGCTGCATCTTTTTCTTCATGCCCCACCCCCCGCAAGGCATTGATGAAAGTGGACTTCCCTGCTCCACTCTCCCCTGTCACTGCAATGTTCAGTGGGGCATTCTGGATGTTTTTCAATGCATCGTTAATTGCAGAAACAGTTTTCTGAATATTCCCCTCATCCAGGTGTGATTGAATTGAAGCAATGGTTTCTGGAGAGAGGATTTTGCTTTCCATCTTGAAAGTCTTAAAAAACTTGTCACAGCTGAAGGTAAAATCTTGAGCCTCTTTATTAGGGGTTGTGGAGGAGGATGCCTGACCCATGGCTGTGAGAAGTAGAGGGCACTAGTGGGAGGACAGAAGTGAGAAGTTCAAAGAGTTAGCACAGTAGGGAAGATCTTGATTTTGCTGTTAAGGTAAAACAGAACTTCAGCCCTAGTCTCACATTATGACTGGGGAAACGATCTCTTTCTATTCATGTATGTTGCCAGGATTTCTGGCCTACATGTTAAGTTTGCTCTTAGCAAGCCTCTTTCCTTATCTTGTCCTGCTCATTTTGATGAAGAGATTCTTCATTATTTTCAAGGTCTTTTTTTTCTATAGAAACTTTCCTGCCAAGGCTATTCATTTTTAATGTTTTTTAGTTATTGATAGACCTTTATTTATTTATATGCAGTGCTGAGAATTGAACCCAGTGCCTCACACATGTCAGGCAAAAGTGTGCTAATGCTGAGCCATAGCCCAGCCCCAGGCTATTCTTTATTGATCTTCTTTTAGTTATTTTTTTAATAAAAATAATATTTGCACATATGAGCAGTGAAACAAGGTAAAGATGAAACTACCAATCTGTGCTTCCCCCTATAGGTTGGCTATAACTGACTTCAAGACTTATAATGTAAACCAGTGGAACAGAATAAAGAGTCCATAAACATCTCTCTCTTTATTTATGTATATATGTATATATTTATGTGTGTATATATTTATATATATACACACACACACACATATCTCAATAACAGTTTAGAGTGTTCATATATATCAATCGATATTTTACAAAGGAATAAAGGCAATTCAATGGAACAAAGATAATATTTTCAATAAAACAGTTGGAAAAAGTGGACAAGCATGACAGTGAATTTAGACACAGAATTTATGCCCTCCACAAAAATTTACTCAAAATATAGCATGCAAAACCATAAAAACCTTGAAAGATGGCATAGGAGAAAACCTAGATCACCTTGGTATGGCAATGACTTTTTAGAATCAACACAACAAAATAATCCATATTAGAAATAATTGATAATCTGGGCTTCATTAAAGTTATAACTTCTCTATGAAAGGTGATATTAGGAGAATGAAATTTTCTCCCCACACTGGGAGAACAGTACTTACAAAAAACACACCTGGTAGAGGACTATTTTCTAAACTACACGAAGAACCCTTAAAATTAACAATAAGAAAACAGATAACACCATTAAACAATGAGTCAAAGACCTTAACAAAAACCTCATCAAAGAAAGTCTATGGATAACAAAAAAATCAAATAAAAAATAGGCTCCACATCATACATTATCAGAGAAAAACAAATTAAAACATCAATTTTGTACCACTACATACTAGAATGACCAAATCTGAAACACTGACACTATTAAATGATGGCAAAAGTGTGGACCATCTAGAACTCTCCTTTACTACAGGTAGGAATGCAAAATGTACATCTGTTTTGGAAGACGGCTTGGTATACTCAACATACATGTTCCTTGATATTTACCCAAAGGAACTGAAAATATTTGTTCAAACAAAAGCCTGTACATGGGTGTTTCTAGAAGCTTTATTCATGACTGTCAAAACTTGGAAACAACCAGGATGAGTTTCAGTAGGTGAGTGGATTAGTAAACTATGGAATATTTTAAAAAATGGAATACTATTCAGTACTAAAAAGAAATGAGCTATTAAGCAATTAAAAGATGTTGAGAAGCTTAAATCTTAAATGTGTAATACTAAGCAAAAGAAGACACTCTAAAAAAGGCTACATATTGTATGATTTCAATCTATAGATGAAAGGTCAAATTTGGAAAAAGTCAAAAGAGCAGTGGTTGCCAGGAGCTTCAGTGGGTATGAAAAGGCACAAAGGATTTTTAGGGCACTAAAAATATTTGGAATGATACTATAAAAGTGAATACATGCCATTATACATCTGTCCAAATCTTTGGCATGTAGAACAGTAGGAACCAAAAGCAACCTTAGTTGCATTGTGGTTTGGATCTGGAATGTCCCCTAAAGGCATATTTGTTGATGGTTTTGTCCTCAATGCAGCAATGTTCAGAGGTGGAGCTTTTGAGAGGTGATGGAATGATGAGGGCTCTGACCTCATCATGGATTAGTTCATTTATGGATTCATAGCTAATGTGCTATTGGGTGATGGTAGAAAATTTAAGAGGTGGGCCTAGCTGGAAAAAGTAGGTCATTGGGGGACATGAACTTGAAGGGTGTATTTTGTACCTGGCCCCTTCCTCTCTCTCTCTCTCTGCTTCCTGGAAGCCATTAAGTGAGCAGCTTTGCTCTTCCAAGACTCCCCTTCCATAACATTATTCCTCCCCAGAGGTCCAGAAATTAAAGATCTAAATTTCCATGAGATGAAACCTCTGAAACCATGAGCCAAAATATTTTTTGTATTTTAAGTTGATTTTCTCAGATATTTTACCACAGTGATAGAAAGTTGACTAACACAGGGTGATTATAATGTGTCAATGAACAAATGTGTCAGTTGTAACAAACATATCAACTTGGTGTGTATGTGAGTGTGTGTGGGGGGGTTATAATGGAGCATGCTATGCATATGAAGGATCAGTGAGTATTTGGGAACTGTTTGTATTTTAATTTTTCTGTAAACTAAAACTTGTCTAAAAAGGAAGTTAAAAATTAAGAAGAAAATATGCAAACATGCTAGACTATACACTTATGATTTTCTAAGACTCTACCCCCTCACCTACCTCTAGCTGTTGTGTAAAACAGGCCCACGATGAGGGAGGAAGATCAGATACCTGGGGACTGACTAGTGTAGAAAGTGTCATCAGTAGAAGAGATGGTGTGATCAAAGACTATAGGAGGGGCTGAAGTGGGTCTTGTACAAAGTCAGCCATGCCATGGAGGTGCCTCTGTCACCCTTCCTAATATCAATGGAATTAACCTGGTTCTGGAGTCCTAGATATTTTTGATTAAAGAACATGTATACCTTGAGACAAGGCACCAGATGAAATCACACATCCAGAGCTTAATATGATGAATAATGTGCAAGACCAATATATTGAATGCAATAGAGAGAAAGGGCAGAATTTTTAGACTACAAACCAAGGCATCTCAACTCAGGGTGGGATGTCTGAGAGGAAGGCAGGTCAAATAGATGCCATCTGGTTGCAAGTGAGGGTTTAGGCACATCCTTTAGGAGCTTGCTGGAAGTCATTTAATACAGTCCAGGAGGAGAGAAAATGGCAATAATAATCCTGGAAGAAACTTTTCTGAGCAGATATACAAAATCTGGATTGGTGTACATATAATTAGAGATGGCAAGCATTCTTCATGGAAGAATGGAGATGTCTGACTTGTCACTGGGTGAGTGGAAAGGTATCAGCCACTTTTGGGCATGGTGTTAGTACTTTGACTGCTTGGCATAATTTTTTTTCACATACATGAGAGGGTAAATCTTGAGGATCTAGTAGTGTATGAGGGCCAACCCATTGCTGTGTAGAAAGCAGCCCATCCTGCACCCCCCTCTGGGATATATAAGGTCTGGCAAAATACAGAATGAGTAAAGTGAGTTTTGAAGTGGAAAACACAGCCAGAGACTTGAAGAGGATCCAACAGAGTGAAACATGAGTTCTCAACAGATGTTGATTTGGACTAGTGCATTTATAGAGGATGCCAGAGCAAATAATACAGGATGTCATAAATATTCATGGAGATAGGTCCTGAGTAATTGAGCAGATAGAGACTGGGACCCCAGTGACAGAGGCTGAAGGGTATGCAGATGTAGACATCAAACTTCTGTGTCCTGAGAAACTTTCAACACACAAAAGCCATGTGCTCTTGTTTGTTTTCTGCTGCAGTAGTTGGGTGGTAGTAGCTGGGGCAGAGCACTATATAGAATTGCTATGACCTTGTCTTCCAGCTATTCAGTGTGTTTACTGAGTGTGAGCAGGGAATAAATAAGAGGGAATATGGAAATATACATTAAATAAACCTAACATGTGCATCTACATACATTCCTCACTTCACCCTAACAGCCCTATAAGGACATTATAATAATTTTCATCTTCAAGTTATGGAAAAAAGAAACAGAGGTTGAGAGACCAGTAGAGTCCTGCCTGCCATTAGCAAAGCTCAGAACTGGGATTCAAAGTGAAACTCCTCCTTCCAAGTGCAGAGCTCTTGCATAGAGGCAAAGATCAAGACCACAATTTGGTAAGGAGAGGTACAGTCAGGGATGAAATGAAGACCTAAGAGCTTCTGTGTTTTTATGTTTACATGATATGCCCATTCTTCAGAGTGAGAAGTATTTTGATATTAGATGAAGAATGTCAGATTTCAGATGTTCTCAGTGAAAATCAATATCTATTGGCATCCTGACTTTACATGGTCCTTCTACAGTGCAGAGGAATGAAGCTTGCTTGTGACTGGCCTCTGAAAATGTCTCACATATTTAAATTCTCTGAATGGCTTATAGCTGTTCATCAACCATCCGCCTTTTAGCCTTTAAGTCCATGGCACTCATATCGAGCAACAAGGAGGTCCCACTCTCAGAAACACAGATTTACAATTCTATTTTTAAGCTGTATTAATTCCAAAATATTTTCTACTCACCAGTTTCTTGGAGAAAAGGTGTCACAGTTGAGCTCCTTGTGCTCTACCGAAAGATCAGAAAAAGCTGGGTTTGAAGAAGGGCGTCCCTGCAGCCCAACCCAGAAAATAACTTCTGTGTAGACCTGTTATCCCCTGGCAGTCCTGGTCCTGTGTGCTTCTGTGGCTACCACAGATAAAAATGGGCTGGACTTAACCCTGGACTGTGTGGAAGGAGCTGTGAGGCTTAAATTATCTTTGGGGTTTGTCCTGCCTTCCCAGGAATTGGGCCAATAGCACAGAAGGAAGAAGTCCACAATGGGAGAGCAGAATTTCCAGGAACAGAAAAGTGAAACCAAATTTCTGTAATCTTCTTTTCCCAGCAGTAGACCCTTTGCTGGGCATTGAAAGTGAAAGATGGGTGGCCAGGGATTTTGCATGCTTTTGGAATGATAGCTGAGGGAAAGGCACAGGATAACCCAGGCACTGGGTCTTCACAGTGACTGAGGAGGGATCACTCCAACCAACCCCTGGCTTCAGAGATCATCCAAATCTGGACTTACAAAACATAAGCCAGAGTCCTGGGCAAATGTTACTTATGTCCTGCCTATGAACTCCACAACCAGCCTCTATGTAGTAAATAATAGGTCTGCCCTATGTCCTTGGTCCCTAGTGCAGAGTTTTAAAATCCCTAGGAATTTTCAGTGACCAGAGGATCTTTGTTAATTTATTGTGGGTTCCTTGGGATTCTACATAGAAAGAAAAAACTAACCAAGGAGCTCAGGTTCAATAATTCACTAGAATAACTCAGAAATCAGAAAAGTGTTATACTTACAGTTCCAGTTATATTATAAAGGGCACACATAGGGCAAAGTATGGAAGGAAGCACAGAGCTTCCATCCTTTCCCCAGGGAATCAGAGCACAGCACCTTGTGAACACATTGCCTGGAAAGCTCCAGAGGCTGCATTGGTTGATTGATTAAATCATTGACAATTTGATTGATCACAATCACAAAGCTGATTCCTTTACCTCCCTGGCGATTGTCACTCCCTAAATATAACCCTCTAATGATTTGGTTGATTTTTCTAGTGACCAGTCTTCATCTTGAAACATGTAGGGACATACAAAAAAGTTTTATATTGTTTGAATACAGACTATGATAATTTAAGTGATATGTGCATATTTCAAACTTTAAAATAGAAATTAGAGCCAGCGGTGGTAGCACACACCTGTAGCACACCCAGTGGCTTGAGATGTGGAGTCAGGAGGATTGCAAGTTCAAAGCCAGCCTCAGCAAAAGCAAGATGCTAAGCAACTCAGTGAGATCCTGTTTAATAAAATACAAAATAGGGCTAGGGATGTGGCTCAGAGTTCAATCCCTGGTTATCCCCCCCAAAAAAAGTAGAAATTAAAAGCTAGAATATGAGTTAATAAACCAATAGAAAGCAAAAATGGAGTAAAATTATACTTATTTAATTTTTAAAATGACAGGAGACAAGGATAAAGGAATAAAAAGCAAATGGAAAAACAAACAAGGAGAAGGTAAATACAAATTCCAGATATAAGTACTTGCATTAAATGTCAATAAAGTGACTATGCCAATTAAAAGTAGAAAGAAATTGTCAAAATGCTTGGGAATTCAAGAACGTAGTACGCTGCTTATTTCCATGCATCTTGTACAAATATAGATAAGTTTAAAAATAAAATGATGGAAAATACATATGAGCCAATGCTTAATCATAGTCTTGAAAAATATGTTTCAGAATAGAATATTACTTGGAATAAAGAGGGGCATTTAAAGGTTAGGGATGGGGCTGGGGATGTGTCCGCCGAAAAAATTCTCTCTCTCTCTCTCTCTCTCTCTCTCTCTCTTAAAAAAAAAAATAAAGGTTAGGGATGTAGTTCAGTGACAGAGTATGCACTTAGCATGTACAGGCCTGCTGTTCTATCTTAGCAGCAGTATCAGCAGTGGTGGCAGCAGCAGCAGTAGCAGCAGCAGCAGCAGCATTAGCACCACCAACAACAAAGAGGGACATTTGATTATAATAAAAGGAGCAGTTGAGAAACTGTTATCCTTTCATTTGGTCATAATTAAAATATCAGTTGAGCATAGACATGCAACAATAATAGAATTTCAAAATACTTGAAGCAAAAGTGTCATAAGTATAAGGAAAAATTACACAAATCCTCAAATGCATTCCTCTGTCATTAATTGGTTATATAAGTACACAAAAATTCAGTAAGGTTGTAAAAGACTTGAAGGCAGATAAACTAATTTGACCAAATTGGCATATATAAAAATATTAAGAAACTACAGAGTACAATTTATTTTTAATTACAGGAGAAACTTTTATCCCAATAGATAATATGCTGGTGTACAAAACAAGTCTCATAATTTTGAAAGGATCCAAATTGGGGACCCTTAAATGTGCATGGTGCTTTTTTTTCTCACAGATTTTAAAATTCTTTCTTTGTTTTGTGTTTTGGCAGTTTGGCTATATAATATAAAATTATAAATATATTTTCTTGTCATGTCTATTTGAGGTCAGATAAGCCTCCTTTACATGGATGTCTGTATATTTTCCAGAATTAGGAAAGTTTTCTACTATTTTATCATTAAATAGATTTTCTATGACCTTAACTCTTTTCTTCTCATCTTCAGATATTCTAAGAAATATAGATTTGTTCATTTTTTAATGGTGATCAAGATATCTTGAATGCTTTCTTCATTCTTTTTTTTTCTTTTCTTTTTCTTTTTTGTTTCACTGGAACAGTTTTCAAAATGTTGTAATTCACTAAAAATTGTCTTAAATTCAGAGATTTTTCTGCTTTATCTATTATTTTATGGAGGCTTTCAACTGCAGTTCTTATTTGACTTATTGAGCTCTTCATTTCCAAGATTTCTCTTTTTCAAGATTTTTATATCTTTGCTAAATTTCTCCTTCGTATCCTCTAGTCTATCTAATTTCATTTAACTATTTCCTTGTATCCCCTTGGATCTCACTGAGCTATTATAATCATTCTTTTAAATTCTGGGTGCTCACTCTGTGGCTTCTCCTGAAGTAGGTATGGTATCCTCTACTTGGTGGTGGGGTATTCCTCAGGCCCTATTGATGCTACTAATGTGGGACTCTGACATGGGTGGTGCCAGCAATATAGAAGGGCATAAATAACTGTTGTTGGCCCAGAAGCTGCATGGGGAGAGGTGATGATGAGAATTTCAGCACCAAGTCTGTGGTCCCTATACCCAGTACTGACATCAGTGTGTGGTTAGAGAAAGTGCAGAGGTGGGGAATCATGGAACTCCTTTTTGCTACTTGGTTAGCAATGCCTGCCTGTGAGCTGAACCTCAGACATAGTCCCCTTTGGTCAAACATACATAAGTGGGGTGATATCTGTCTCCTTGGCGCCTTCAGCTGTAGGAGTGAGAACATGGCTACAGTCAGACAAAATTATTCTTAACTCCTCCAGCTGTACACTGCCAGGGCAGAATGATATCAGGAGCACCAGAGTTTCTCAAGGCTCCTGTACACAGGACAGCAACAGAAACCACAGTATTGCCTCCCAGACCTATTGGTAACTTGCACCTGAGCATGGCAGAGTGGGGAGATATGATGGTAACTGTATGGTCACCTACCTTCAGTCCTGGCACTGGCAGGAATCCACAGGTGGCTGACCATGCCCCTATCTCAGAGGACAATTTCCCTCATCTCCTGTTTATCAAGGACAGTGCCTTCCATTCCTTTCTGTGTCATAACATCTGTCTCCTACAGTGCAAAGTATCCGGTGAGCTTGGGTTGGAATCACTCTGCTGGATATGGATGAATTTGTGAGGCAGCTACTACTCAATTCCAAGTCAGTGCTGTGGTATCTGTTTGGGGTCCCAAATATGTAGAGGTTTCTGACCCCAAGAGCAGTTTAAATTCAGACAATAGAACCCTTTTCAAGATGGTTCCTAGCTAGTGTCATGGAGGTTTGCCAGGAGGTGATATGAGATCTTTCCCCAAAGCGAAGTTACTGTATAGATTTCAGTGACAACGGTGTGGTGGAATATGTCTGTAATTCCAGGCTCTTGGGGAGGCTGAATCAGCAGGATCCTAAGTTTGAGGCTAGCCCCAGCAATTTAGAGAGACCCTGTCTCAAAATAAAATATAAAGAGGGTTGGGGATGTATCTCAGTGTTTAAGCACTCCTGGGTTCAATCTCCTGTACTCCCCGCAACAAAGGAAAAAAAAAAAGTCCAAGTTAAGTTTGTTAAAGAGGCAGGTCCCCAGGTGGATTGGTGCTTCGTGGGGCACCGCACAGCGGCCTCCAGGGGCCCTTGGCGTGTGGCAGGCGCCCTTCACAGCAGCCTCTCTGGACTTCAGCTGTCGCTGGCCGGAGGGGAGGAGAGGTGGGGACTATGGTGGCCTTGGGTTTCTAAGGCCGGTGAAAAGCCTGGTCTAGTGTTAGAAGATAGCTCAAGGGCTGCTACTCCAGCACCGAGACCACGGCCAGGCACTTGCGCTGGAGGCTGCCCAAGGTCGTGCCACCGCGGTCAGGGGCCCCAGTGTAAGCGCCCACATCTCGGTTGGCTGTGCGACTACAGCTGCGGTATGGATTGCCTGTGCGAACCTCCTGCTAGTAAAACCATTATTTTATTGCAGCCTTGAAAACATGAATTTCCGTTTTGCTTTCAACTTCCATCTGAATCTTTGGTAACCTCATTTACTGGGAAAAAGGGAAGCATTCAGTACTGTGTGAAGGCAGTTTTGGAATGACCCAAGAAACCAGGTCAGGTGTAAAACGAGAACTCAAGGTTGTTAGTCATGTGGATGTCAATGCACCAGCATTATTGACTCCTGGGTTGAGAAAATGGTTGGCTGTTGGTTTGTTTTTTTTTTTTTTTTTTTTTCACTTTTCGTTCAGTCTTGCTGATGCTGAAATTGAAAAAAAGGGATACTGTAATGGAGAAGCTATTCCAATCTATGAAGAAATAGAGAATTGTTCTTCTCCTCTGATTGCCAAAGCACCTGTTTTTCCAAACCCAAATGTATTTGGCTAGTAGGAAAACAAAGACTATCTGTCACTTGATTGCCAGTGCGTGAGGAAACCACATAGCATCTGGGAGTACTGACACTTTGAATGAGAAAATTCTCAAAATCCCACCT